TTTACCTTACTCATCGTATTTTCTCGTTTTAAAAGTTCTCCATTCTCTGTTTTAAGAGCCTTTAATTGTTGTTGAAGTTCCTTATTGGCAAATTTGCTGTCTTTCTTAGTCATTTCTAACGTTTTTTGCATCTCCTTATTTTGATTCTGCGCAAGCTGCAAGTCCTCCTGCGCTTTCGAAAGCTTATTTGTGAGATCCTTAGAATAATTCATCTCAGTAGTCAATTTCTTCTCCATCCTGTTTATATCATTAATGAGTTTGCTCTCTCTTTGCTTTAGTGTGTTTAATACTGTTTCTAAATTTTGCATCTAGAAATATAATATTATATTAGTAAGAATGCTAGAATTAAAAAATTATACAAAAATAATTAATTATTTTTACTATATGTATATTATACAAAACCGATTTACCCTTTCCGTTTTTGTACGCAAGTCTTTCTCCAACATATTTTGTTTTTCTATCAATGCCTCACATTTAGTAAACGTATTGTGATTATTTGTCTGCATCATTTCGATTTGATTTCTATTATAATAAAGATACATTTAAACTTTGAATAATCTAATAATATAACAATATGATCTAATGAGATAGATATTTTTAAAAATATCAAATTTTATTATAATTTAAATATTTACTTATACGTAAAAATTTCGTCCTGAAATTTTGAAAGAAGTTCATCTTTTTGTGCGATTGTTTCTGTGATGTTAGTTTTATCTTGCTCCAGTATGTTTATTCGTGATTGTAAACTTGCGAATTCCGATAACAATTCTTGTTTTTCCTGAAATAAATATTTAAAATTGCATCTAATAAATTAATTTTAAAAATATATATATAAAATAAAATTAAATTTAAAAAATTTGATTGTACATACCTTGACAAGATTTATCTTTTCTTCAGCATGTGCATTGGTCAATTTACTTTTCTGCAAATGCAATTCGCGCTCGGTATTTTCCACTTGTTTTTGTAATTTATTCTGCTCTGTCAAGACATCTTGCATCCTAAAAAAAATTATTTAATTCTTATTACGTAACCGATTATGCATAATTTATCATATTTGACTCATTATAATTTACTTCTTTTCTTGAAGTAGCAATTTGTTTTCCAATTGCGCAGCCGATTTCGCGATGTCGTAATTTTCTTTTTTAATTGTCTTCAGTCGCGATTTTAAATTTTCATTTTCCAATGATAAGCACTGCTGTTCCTGTAAAAGAAAAATCAAAACTCTTAATAAAAATATACATATTGCATCCTATATAAAAAAAATCATGGAATTTCTTTGAAACGTTATGAGAGATAACATACTTTCAGCTTTTCTTGGGTAGACATATTCAATTGGTTCTTCTGCAATTGTAATTCGTATTGGACGTTTTCCAGTTGTTTGCATAATTTATTCTGCTCCGTCATCGTCTCTTGTAGTCTGATTCGAAAAATTATCTTGATAATATGTATATCTTCGTCCATTTATACGATAAATTATTGTATATAAAAATTACCTTTTTCTCGTAGTAGCAATTCATTTTTCAAATGCGTAACGTGATCCTCTAAATCTGTAATTAAAATTATAAAAAGTTAAAAATATAAATAAATATAAATAAAAAATTAATCGTAGCAATAAAAAAATTTTGCAATTACATGGAAAAAATTAGTCACTATTACCACTAAATTTTACTGTCCCTGCATTACAACCTGAAATTTATAGTTATGCCTATAAATTTTAGCTCTATGATAATTAATAGTTTAACGCAGATAATTCTGTAACTAAAAAATATTAACTAAAAATTATAGCTAAAATTTAGGCATGATTAAATTTCAGATATAATATAAAGACAGTTAACATTTTGCTATATATAGTGGCTCTTTTTTCATGATAAGATTCAAACACAATTAACAATTTCAAACTATATAAAAGAACATGCCTTTTGATTTTGAGCTGTTTAATTGCATCTTCTTGATATCTTCCTGCTGCTTGTGAATCACCCCATCGTAAAGAGCAGACAAATTAATGCGATGCTGCTCAAAGCTGGTCAGACTCTCACTGATGTAGTTGAAATATTCTGTGATAGTCTCAATGGTTTCCCAAGTCGCGTTTAATCTGTTGAAAAAAAAAAAATCAAATTGTAGAGGATATATAAACATAAGCATATGTGTCTGCAAGATTTTTTCCAGGGGGGGCATGATTAAAATTTGTTTTACTTTTATTTGTTCTTTCTGAATTTTAATTTGTCACTTTCATTTTTTATATTAAATATGCAAATTCTAGTATTTATTTGAAAGAATAGCAAATGTTTAATTTTTATACTAATGAAAGCTTATATATGGAAACAAATGCAGATGCTTGTGACATGTATAAATTAAAGGAATATTTGACTTGATCCGAATCTCCGCCTTGTTGCGCGTTTCCGTTTCCAAGGAGGTGGACAAAAAGGTTGCCGCTTCCTGGCTTTCCTTCAGCTTCCGCCTCAGGTCGTGAATAACACGGTCCCGCTTCTGCAGAGCCTGTTGAGTGTTTTTCTGCGTGTTCGCACTTTCCGTCACCTGTCATTTATTTCTTTTTGAAGGTTTTATTCTAAAAAATTAAATCGATAAAAAAAACGAAATTTATCTACCTCCTCCGTTTGATCCGAAACCGCGTTTCCTGTGTACTTCATCCATTGCGTGATCAAGGTATCGATGAATTTGACGTTCTGCGTGTTCGTATCAGCATTCTCGGAACCTGTAAATGTTCCACGCGAAAATTATAATACAATCAAGCGGAAATTTCAGAAATTATTTACCTTCTTCCATCTTCAATGCTTCATTAAATATCGGACTTGTACATCGATCTCGTTCCACTCCAGGAAAAATATTGTTGCAAAAATGGATGTATTCACTAAAAAGCAACTTCAAGTCGATCTTTTTGCTACACTTTTTTTTTATTTAAACAATGTAAATATTATAATTATAAAATTATATATATATATAGAACACACATATATTTTATTATAATTTATACAGTTGTCAAAATGCAATAATATCACGTAAAACGCAATATAAATTATATTTTTCTTGAGAAAGACGAATAAAAAATGTAGATATGATTTAACGCGCCCAAATATCGTATTGTGGTGCCCTCTGTCGGAGAGTCGTGGAAACTTTTTGCATGACACGTTCCGAAATTTTATCCGCGAGATCAGAATGAGAGAAGAGAAGATTTGATTGGTCGATTTGACGCTACTCTGTCTCATGAATTTTACGAACTCATCTCAAACTTCAAGAAATCGAATTTGTTGGATTTTATGGTGTCCCACGCGAAATATGATTTTGAAGCAAATATTTTTGCAAATGCGACTGAGTAAAATAATTGAATAATTGCAGACTTGATAAATATATATATATATATATATATATATATATATATATATATAAACAGTGTTCTCTCTTTTTAATCTCCAAAAATTCTGAGAGTTTTACGGTAAACACAATTTTAATACACAATATTATTATCATAAATAATAATAATTATATATAATAATATATAATTATTCAATATTATTATCATAAATTTGAAGTGTGCTGTGATAAACTCCGGGAGTAAAATCTGTCAAAGACATATCAGAAGACCAACCATGTCAGGGACATTCGAACAAATCAAGCTGCTCTATGACCAGGCATTATATTCAAACGTGATTTCTTTATCAAACTTGGTGCTCTCTCTTAGTGAGCACAATGTTGATCTTCTACCTGGTTACACAAAGTTCCATGTGTATGTCTACTATGCGGATGCTCACTTCTATCTAGGCAAGTATCGCAGAGCAGAGACTCTGTACAAGAAAGCTCTGCAGTTCCGCAAGTGCCTGCTGAAGTCCAAAGGTACGGGGAAACCCTTGTTGGATGGCCAGAAGGATCTACCATCAGATGTCAACATCAAGTACCAGATCCATTTATGCCTGGTGAAGTCGAAGAACCTGCAGGAAGCGTTGCAGGTGCTGCAGAGTATCCCAGGCAAGCAGCGGACTGCCAAAGTGAACATGGCACTTGCCAAGATGTTTCACGAACAGGGAATGGAGCGATCTGCCATTACCACATATAAGGAAGTCTTGAGGGAGTGTCCACTGGCTCTGGAAGCTACGGAGGGCCTCCTGTCCTTAGGAGTGAAAGGTGTGGAGGTCAACTCTCTGATTGTCAGCTCTGTCTCTAACTCGATGAACTTGGAATGGCTCAATACATGGATCAAGGCACATTCTCACATTCACAACAGAGAATACACTCATGCTGTGACCACGCTGAGATCATTGGACAATGTTGTTCTGCTTAGGGATAACTTCAACTTATTGACCACCATGGGAGAGTGTTATTATTATGCAGGCGATGACAAGAATGCTATGCTGTGTCTGAAGCGAGCCAGAATTATCGAGCCTGACATAACAAAAGGGTAATTACAAGCTACAAGTCATTATTTGTAAATGTTCCATTATATTTGTTATTTGTTTACAGAGTGGACATCTATGCTGCGATTCTATACAAGATGCACTACATCAAAGATTTGGAACGACTAATACCAGCGATAACTGCTAACAACGAGTGCACTGGGGAAATTTATGTAGCGATGGCGTATTCCTTGTATGCTGCTAGAAAATTCAGCAGAGCGAACACCCTAACTGCTCAAGCATTGAATCTGAATTCCAACGACATAGAGGCCACCATACTGCGGGGCAACATCTTCATCGAGCAGAAAAAGTATCAGGACGCATTGTTCTTCTTCAGACACGCAGTGCAATTAAAACCCTACAGATACGAACCACACAAAGGCTTAGTGGACTGTCTCGTCGGGATGCACAGGTTACGAGAGGCTTTGAATATCGCCAGCAGCTCTTGCAAACAACTTGGACATACCGCGAGGGTCCTGACAGTGAGTTAAACTCATGAAGGAAAATCCCAAAGACGTAACAATTTTTATGCTTGCAGTTATATGCGTCCGTCTTGATGAAGGATCCTGTATCAGTGAGCAAGGCCAAAAATCTTCTTGAAAAGGCACTGTCCCAGGATGAGGTCTACTTACCCGCAGTGTACCTGCTCGCGGAAATATACGAACAAGAGATGAATCTGGAAGCGGCCATCCTATTGCTCGAGAGGCAGGTGGAGAATAATTCTACCTGCAAGCTTCATCAGACCTTGGGAGACTTGTGGGCGAGAGTGCACAACGAAGAGAAGGCTCTAGATCATTATGCCATAGCTTTGAAGTATATTTCACATTTCCAATCATTTCAACTTCGCAATAATTGATTATTATTTTGTATCTAGATGGAAGTTTATCTGTTCTTTTACTTTCAGCTTGGATCCGAGTAACAGGAGAGCTTTAGAAGGAATGCACAGGCTAGACAATTCTTCCAGTAAACTAGACTCTGCTTATTATATGACTGTCGGTGAGGAACAGGCTGATACAACTTATGATGTTGGTGATGGTCTACAAGATACAGATAATGATGAGGCACCAGAAGAGAGTGAAACCGAAGCCATTTGGTCAGATATGGACTTGGAAGCGAATAGTCAGTAGTCATCCTCGTTGTATAGAGAGAAATGATCTGAAAGTCAATTTTCTCTGATGCTGCTTGATTAACAATTGACTGTAGTCAATTTCTTAACAGAGGATCTTGAAAGAATAATTCCATAAACTAATGTTTATTGTATATTCTGCTCAATGAGCATTAAATGAGATGAGACTGATGTTTGTAATTAGATGAGCTAAATGTATAATAGAGCGAAGTGTGTAATTTTACTTTTTTTTTATTTGTATAAGATAATAAGATTTGTTAAACATAATTTTCTGTTAATAAATCTCTCTTATCATTTATAGAATTAATTACTTTGAAACATATCCTTTCCTTCAAAAGGTGAAATGTATATAGTAAGCTCTAATTATTTTCCTCCAATTTGTTCCCTCGTAAATTGCAATTTTTATTGTTATAAATAAATATATATTGTATGTGTACTTATATAATTTAAATTTTTCATTATTTCTAATCTTTATTCTAATTTTCATAAATATTTTCTTTCTTTTCTTTATTTTATTTTAATTTCAGATCCAACACACACACAACACACATGCATTAATAGCTATATTAAAATGGGACATCCTGTATATAATGCGCATGCGCGCTCCAGTGTTGTTAGACGGGCTAGGTTTTTTCGCGCATGCGCGTATTACCGTGACGTAACCATGACGACTACAGTAACGTATGATGTTTGCGCGCGCAACTACGGACCAAGACCCTGGACCACGGAGTTTTGGCGGAATCGCAGGAAACAGATAAATTGAACGTACGTAAAAATAAATAAATTATTACAATATATGTAATATAAAAGTGTATTATTATAATTTATGTATATTAAATTAATCAATAATTCAAATTATAAATTGTATAAATAAAAACTAAACTCGTAATTTACGTATGTTATAACATAGGTACACGTATATGTATATATTTTATAATTTCATTATTTGTTTATTGTATGTTTATATTTAACATTTTTAATTAAATTTATTATATTTATAATAAAAATTATACGATTCATTAATTATTTTAAAAAATTTTCAATAATTTAAGAAAAATTAAACAGAGGGGGAAATCAGGACCCCATTTCATGCGAGTGACTACTTCATTAATATTACATTCAATGCGCATGCGCGAAAAAACCTAGCCCGTCTAACAACACTGGCGCGCTCTAGCTCTAAAGCAGTGTTGTTAGACGGGCTAGGTTTTTTCGCGCATGCGCATTGAATGTAGTATTAATGAAGTAGTCACTCGCATGAAATGGGGTCCTGATTTCCCCCTCTGTTTAATTTTTCTTAAATTATTGAAAATTTTTTAAAATAATTAATGAATCGTATAATTTTTATTATAAATATAATAAATTTAATTAAAAATGTTAAATATAAACATACAATAAACAAATAATGAAATTATAAAATATATACATATACGTGTACCTATGTTATAACATACGTAAATTACGAGTTTAGTTTTTATTTATACAATTTATAATTTGAATTATTGATTAATTTTAATATACATAAATTATAATAATACACTTTTATATTACATATATTGTAATAATTTATTTATTTTACGTACGTTCAATTTATCTGTTTCCTGCGATTCCGCCAAAACTCCGTGGTCCAGGGTCTTGGTCCGTAGTTGCGCGCGCAAACATCATACGTTACTGTAGTCGTCATGGTTACGTCACGGTAATACGCGCATGCGCATTGAATGTAGTATTAATGAAGTAGTCACTCGCATGAAATGGGGTCCTGATTTCCCCCTCTGTTTAATTTTTCTTAAATTATTGAAAATTTTTTAAAATAATTAATGAATCGTATAATTTTTATTATAAATATAATAAATTTAATTAAAAATGTTAAATATAAACATACAATAAACAAATAATGAAATTATAAAATATATACATATACGTGTACCTATGTTATAACATACGTAAATTACGAGTTTAGTTTTTATTTATACAATTTATAATTTGAATTATTGATTAATTTTAATATACATAAATTATAATAATACACTTTTATATTACATATATTGTAATAATTTATTTATTTTTACGTACGTTCAATTTATCTGTTTCCTGCGATTCCGCCAAAACTCCGTGGTCCAGGGTCTTGGTCCGTAGTTGCGCGCGCAAACATCATACGTTACTGTAGTCGTCATGGTTACGTCACGGTAATACGCGCATGCGCGAAAAAACCTAGCCCGTCTAACAACACTGCTCTAAAGTCGGAAATCGGAAGCTCAGTGCGAGATGTCATCTGTGATGATGTGCGTCTCGTTTGATCTCTTTAGAGACTTCAGCGAGAAGAAAGAATAAACTTTACTTTGGAGAGTTTCATGCAAGAATATATATTTAATAAAAAGAAAAAAGACTATATATTCTTTTCACAAATAATTTACAATTAAAATAAATGCAAAATGGAAGAGAGTAAAAAATTTCGTTCAGTTTTGTGAAATCCGTGAAAAAACCGCTGCTGGACAAACCGATCCCTCAGGAAGAGAAAAAAGTGGAATACATCGAATGTCTCGATGAGAGGGCGATTAAAGTGATCGGGTAAGTCGAAGAAATTCATCCATTCAACGAGAAAATTAATCATAATCTCGCGTATACAACCTAGCTTAACCTAATCTTTATCTTTTGCTTACTAATTTTTCCGTATTATATATTTCGAATTTTCACTTTGTTATTTTATCTTCATAATTTTTTAACATTTTTGTAATTTTAATAATTACACAAATAGTTCTGTGATTGCAACATGGAATATTAATGTAATAAATTTCATTTTTGTTGCATAAAAAAGATTTCACCTTTGATAAAAATTAAACACGTACAATTTATAGATCATAACTTTTACAAGTAAATAATTTAAGATTTTATAAACTTAATTTTACAAATAATTTGATAGGAATTTTATGTTTATTAGAAAATATATTTAAAATTTTCACTTTTATTTTATCTTCATAATTTTAATAATTACATTAAATTATATTTAATAATTACATTAAATTATAGTTCTGTGATTACAACATGGAATATTAAATATTAGGAATATTTATGTTTATTAGGAAAGAAGAAGAGAAGGACAAACCTCTTGTTATCCCATTATTGCAATCTAAAACATGGCACGATAGAATTATTAATAAAATAAATGCTGACATCTATAAACAAAAAGTAAAGAGTAAAAATGATGTATCTAATATACAACAAGCAGTTTCTAATATACAAATAAAATAGCTAATCAAAATAAAAGTACATTAGATGAACAAGCAGCTAAGGAAATTATAGAAGATCTCAAATCAGTAGAAGAAAAAGATAAACCAAATGATTTAACTTTACCCTTAATAAAGGAGCAAACTTTAAACGGCGCAGAGGAAGTAAGTAATTAAATTAGTAATATTATAATTGATAATATATATTGTCATAAAATCAAATCATAGATATTGTATGTATTTCATTAATTTAATAAATTTCTTTTTCTCCACAGAGTGTATTAGAAGATTACGAGAATGTCCCAATAGAAAGCTTTGGAACAGCTATGTTGCGAGGCATGGGATGGAAGTCTGGAGAAGGGATCGGAAAAAATCCAAAGTAATTTTCCTTTTTATAGAAACTAATATATTTATTATTGCAGCATATTTTTAGATACAAATCAATTATATTTTTTTCATATTATTATTTTTTTGTAGACTTGTGACAACTGTTGTACCTGAAGTACGACCAGCAGGAATGGGACTTGGTGCAGATAAGATTACTCTGCAGAAACAAGGTGGAAAAATTAAAAAGGAAGAAGAAGAATTAAAAATAGAAAAAGGAAGTTTTATAAAAATCATTGCTGGCAAGCGATCCAATACATATGGCCAAATAGAAGGTTTTGATGATGCAGGGAGATTAATTCTAAAAATGGCATTACAAGGAAATACCATTTCTGTAAATGAATGCATAGTTCAAGCAGTATCAAAGGCAGAATATCTGAAAAGTTCTAAAGTTTTAAGTTAGTAACTAAAGTTGGTAAATAAATTACTTTTTAGAAATTTTTTAAAAATATATATTTGTGGAAAAAAAAATATAATATATATATAAAAATATCAGAATTTTAAATAATTTTTTATTTGTAATTTAGTTAACAACTTAATAAACCATACGTTGATTATAACTATTACTACAATTTCTTAGTTTTTTCTGCAGTCATATTGAATTATGATATAAAAAATGAGGCATTATATATGAAAATTCATGATTTAGTAAATAATTAATTTTTTATCAAGTTTAATAATATAAATACTCATTTTTGTTAAAAAGCAAAATGTAGATATTGGATTATATTAGACTATTTCAAAAAATTACATTATTAGTATTGTTTTATATAAATTTTATTGTGCAAGAATATAAATATGTTATTCTGTTATAAAAATAATGAAATTATGAATTATAATATTTCTTTACTGGTTTTTACACTAGTAAATTTTGTTTTAAAAAGTGTATTAGATTTCAAATAAAATATTACAAAATATTTTTGAAATTACTTAAATATTTACTAATATAAAATTTAAAAGGAAGGCAATTTTTTAATATATTATATTAATTTATATTATTGAAATTGATGATGATGTAGAAAAAATTAATTTATTTTAATGTGTAATAAAAATAATTTCTTGCTTTTTATAATTCAATTTATGATTACAGTAGAGGATTAAGAATTTTAAAAACATGGGAAATATTACATGAACCTGTAATTGTATATTTGATAATATTACATTATATCTTTAAAAATTCTGATATAATTTCTGAATATTTGTGCACTATTGTTGCAGCTTTAATCTTTAGTATTTAATAAATCTAATTCAGATGCCGCCAAGTATGAAGAACATAAAACAAGGAAGATGCCAATAAACAACAAAATCTTTAGATTATTTTAGCAGTAATGACGACAGTGATTCTGATGCATTTGAAAGGAAAAGAAGACGTAAGAAGGATAGTGAACATAAAAAAAAGAAATCAAAAGACAAGCAAAGAGATTCATCTGACAGTGATAGTTACGATAAGAAAAACAGAAAACGAAGACGTTCCAGTAGTAGCGATAGGACGAAAAGATCAAAGAAATCAAGAAACATAAAGAAAAAGAACGAGAACGACGAGATGATAAATCAGCTGTCAAGAGAAAATCTAAAAAACACAGAAGATCTCGATCGTCTAGTAGACGATAACGTATATAGGGTGTATTATATAAATTTATACATTAAATATTTATGTACGGTTTTTTAATAAAACTTATTCTTCCATATGGCTTAAGTTTTTAGGTAAACTTTTCAGTCATTTCTGTTGATAGTTTTCGATTCAAAATAAAACAGACCTCAAGTGGATTTTTACCGATAAAAAAAAGTTCAAGCCATTTGTATGAAGATAATTCTATTCAAGTTTTTATGATCAACCTCAGTGTATACAAATTAGAGCAGCTCTGTTAATAAGATGTAAAATAGTACCAAGCTTTTTACTTTAAAAGATTTGTTGTAACTTAAGAGAGAGATAAAGATATATATTTAACAAAGACTTCTGCGTAAGAGTACACAATTCTAAGCAATTTGTTATTTGACAGCTAATTATAATATAAATGTATGATATAAATAAATCATCACATGCGATGATAATGCAAAGAACATTAAGATATGTTTTAAAGACATAAAAGATGTAAGATATTTTTAAATATCTGTAGTCTGGAAATAATTTTAAATTAATCGCATTAAATATTGCAAAATTGCATTGAACTCTTGCACTTGAGTATATAGATACGTAAAGTTTGTTCTTCCTAATTACTATATTAGGAAGATAGCGTAAGAGGAAAATCCTGTTCTCTCTGTATATATGTTTGTCGATTTGTTGTGGACGTCATAAAGATACTTCTAAGGAACAGTGTTGTTAGACGGGCTAGGTTTTTTCGCGCATGCGCATTGAATGTAATATTAATGAAGTAGTCACTCGCATGAAATGGGGTCCTGATTTCCCCCTCTTTAATTTTTCTTAAATTATTGAAAATTTTTTAAAATAATTAATGATCGTATAATTTTTATTATAAATGTAATAAATTTAATTAAAAATGTTAAAATATAAACATACAATAAACAATAATGAAATTATAAATATATACAATACGTGTACCTATGTTATAACATACGTAAATTACGAGTTTGTTTTTTATTTATACAATTTTAATTTGAATTATTGATTAATTTTATATACATAAATTATAATAATACACTTTTATATTACAATATATTGTAATATTTATTTATTTTTACGTACGTTCAATTTATCTGTTTCCTGCGATTCCGCCAAAACTCCGTGGTCCAGGGTCTTGGTCCGTAGTTGCGCGCGCAAACATCATACGTTACTGTAGTCGTCATGGTTACGTCACGGTAATACGCGCATGCGCGAAAAAACCTAGCCCGTCTAACAACACTGC